GCACCGATGAACACACACGCACCGTCGATGTGTTCTCACGATCAGCTCGCTGCTTGCTCTAGCTTACGTGAGTGTGAGAATGCGGCACATAAGACGTACAACATACAAAATACGTGTTATGACTGTTCATGTTATCAGTAGGCGTCCAGCCAACAGTAGGCTACTAGTAATTAAGTTTGAGGGGAGTTAAAAGTTATAGACGGAGTTCTGACTGTGGGGGGATGCAGCACCCCTAACCCCCATGTTGTTCGAGGGTGAAATGTATATGCAAAAATCCTCAACAAAATGCTAGCACACGAGGAGTGTGGGGAATCGAAGGCAGTCAAAGTGCCACCGTCCAATGATAAGTTAGTTTTACATAACGTGAACATGGTGTCGACAGTTACCGCTCCGTATGATAGGCGTGCCAGTTGTTAAAACAGTAAACCTTGAGTTCTCATCATAAGGAGAAAAATCTTTTTCTTTTTTTATTTCCATTTCTTTTGATGGTATCTATATGAGATGACGGATGTTAACTAAACTTATAGAGGTGATCATTTCACAATATACATAAGTCAAACCTTTATGCTATGCACCTGAAACTCATACGGGATGTAGGTCAATTCTGCCTCAATAAAACTAGATAAAAATGCTAGCAAATAAAATGCAGCATCACATTAAAAAAAAAGTATACTCTATGACCAAGCTGGATAATCCCAGGTGGTTCACCATATAAAAATTAATCAATGCTAATAATACACCACATTAATAGAATGGAGTTAAAAAAAATTATCTCAACTGATGCAGAGAAAGCCTTTAACAAAATCCAACATTATTTCATGATATAAAATATTCAATAAACTAGGAATAGAGATTGAATTCCTAAACATAATAAAGGCCATATATGATAAATCCAAACTGACATCATACTCAACAGTAAAAGACTGAAGGTTTTTCCCCTAAGATCAGGAACAAGATGAGGATGCCGACTATCGCTATCTCTATTCAACGCAGTACTGGAAGGTCTTAGCCAGAGCAATAAGGCAAGAAAAAGAAAAAGCATCCAAATTTGAAAGAAGTAAAATTATCTCTAGTGGCAGATGATATGATCTGACATGCAGAAAACCCTCAACATTACACACAAACACACAAACTGTTAAGAGCTAATAAACATATTCAGCAAAATTGCAGAATACAAAATCAGCATTCAAAAATCAGTTGCCTTTCTATACACTGGCAATGAACAATCAGAAAAGGAAATTAAGAAAATAATCCCTTTTATAGTAGCATCAAAAAAAATAAAACATTTAGTAATCAATTCAGCCACGGAAGCATAAGACTTCTACATGGAAAACTACCAAGTGCTGCCGAAAGAACTTAAAGACACAGATAAATGGAAAAATGGGAGGACTTCATATTAAGATGTGAATACTGCCCAATGTAAGCTACAAAGTCAATGCAATCCCTATCAAAATCCCAACATTTTTTGCAGAAACAGATGCAAAATACGTGTGCTACCATTTGAGTGGTTATGTATATGGTGGGTTGGGAATGCACAAGATGTAAACACACAAAATGACAAGTAAGATACTGACAGCTGTGATGCCTACAAGTTGACCAAATGGATGCTAGGGACAGAAAAAGGAAAGATACTTATTTTCCAATTAATATCCTTTAAATTTTGTATCATGTCCATATATATCATTTTCAAAAAAAAACTAAGTCGCTCTCTACTCTCCTCAACACCTTACTAACCCTAAGCAACCACTAAGCTACTTTGTCTTTTATAAATTTGCCTATTGTGAACATTTCACATGAGTGGAATTGTACAATGCGTGGTCTTCCGCAGGGGGCTCTTTCCACTCGGCACGACGCTTTCAAGGCGCATTTCTTTTTCTTGCCTAACAACGTTCACATTTCGCTTCTCCGTTCATTAGCTGATAGACATTTGTGTTGTTTCCACCTTCTGACTATTATGAATAATGCTGCTATTAATATTCATGTCCAAGTTTTTTTGCAGACATATGTCTTTGTTTCTCTTAGGTATCCATATGTAACAAGATCGAACCTTGAACTAAACTTCACACCTGATTCGAAAATTAAAATGGATCACAGAGCTTAGTGTAAAATATTCAACTATAAATATTTTAGAAGAAAACATAGGAGAAAAACTTCAGGAATTGAGGTAAGGCAAAGAGTTCTTAGCTAATCCATAAAAAAATAAAAATTAAAAAAAGTAATAGACTGGACTTCAAAATTAAAAGCTTTTTTGCTCTGGATAGACTGTTGGGAGAATAAAAAAACAAGACAAGATGCAGACTGGAAGAAAATATCTGCAAATCACATAGTCAACAAAGGACTCGCATCCAGAATATATAAAGAACTCTCAAAACTCAAGAATAAGAAATACAACCCATTTTTTCAAAATGGGAAGACTTTAACAGATGAAAGAGGATGCATAGAAAGCAAATGAGTACACGAATCAATGTTCCACATCATTAGCCATTACAGAAGTGCAAATTAAAACCACCATATACCTATTCAAATGGTTAAAATTTTAAAAACTGACACCACCATGTGGTGGTTAGAATGCAAAAAGCTACGAGGACTGTCGTACCCTGCCGGGGTTGGGGAGTTATCAAACAATACGGCCTCTGTGGACAACAGCTTGGCGTTTCCTAAAAACTGAACATACGCCTGCCGTGTGACCCAGCAAATCCCGCTTGCAGGTGGTTTAGCAACAGCAATGAAAAGTCACAGTCACACAAAATCCTGCACACGAGGGTTTACAACAGCTCTGTTCATAACTGCCAAAAACGTGGAAGAAAAACTGTGGTACGTGCACATAATGGAACGATACTCAGCAGTAAAGAGAAATGAACTTTTGACACATGAACGACTTGTGTCAGGCATTACGGTAAGTAAAAGAAACCAGTCTCAAAAGGTTCCATATGTCTGATTCCATTTATATGATATTCTGGAATATAAAATTAATAGTGATAGAGACAGATGAGTGGCTGTCAGGCCTTAGGGGCGGAGGCAGGATGGAACCAAGAGAGGGAAGCATGAGGGCGTTTTAGGAGCAACCCTGTGTTCTGACTTGGTGCGCCCTGTCCCTGTTCTGTATCCTGACTGTGCCGCTAGTTAAACAAATCTGCACGTGGATTATAACTCCTAGAACAGCATGCCAGATAAAAAGTCAATTGCATTCTCATAATTTTAAAAACTAAAAAAATCTTTAAAGAGCTGATCATATTCATGTTAAATGGCAAAAATGCAGGACGTGAACACAAAGGGCAAGACACCCTCCTCAGAGCCTCCTCCTCTGAGGCCTCTTGTTGCTGCTGTTGTGTCAAATCCATTTTGTCCATTCTGACCACGTTTTTAACATGCAATGACCTCCTCCACCTTCCCCAATTACCCTGTCAAAAGTGAGGTAGGTGACTGTATGTTTGTTTTATTTCTTCTGCCTTAAGAAAAATAAAGTACTTTTCTTAGTAAAAGTTAAGTACAATATGCCTAAACATTTTCTTCAATTATTATAAATTATTTTAAAACTGCATGAATAAAACAACTTTTTAGAATTACTTTATCATAATAGGTTTTCAAACGTAATTTATATGTACATATTCTGCAAATTACTTTATATAAATATTGATCCCCAAAGTCATTATATTTGGTCATTCCCAAAACCACATTTAACACTGGAAAGTGATTTACCGAAAAGTATTTCTGTATTCTAGAGCTCTATTCTATTCTATTAAAAGTATTCTCCCATTAATATATTGTCATAATTGAGTCTAAAGATTTCTTTGATGAACTATCCATATGAAAATCAAAATGAAAAAACTTCAACAGACTATGATCTTTTCATTTCTTATCAGCTGAGCTACCCCAGTAAATAAAGACTTCCCCATTAAGAAAGCCCTTTAAGAAAGAATTATGTCCTTTCTTTTTCCTAACGTATGTACATGCTTTCTTTTAATGTACTAATGCCAAAAGAATTATCATTGCCAGAAATTATACACAGGCCTAACAATAAGATTCTGATTAGTGTCAAAAAAGATCAAAATATGTATCAATTATAAACTTATAGGAGTTGACTTGCAATTAGTCTCCAAATATAGAACCCAGAATTTCACTGAGTAAATGAGTTCTCTAACTAGTACCCACTCATGTATAAGTGAAATAATTTCAGCTTTAGAAAACTCAGCTGTTTTCTATCTATATGACCTCATTTATGTAGAAGGATCCTCAAAAATTTATTTTCAAATGCACAGTTAACTGGAAGGTTAAAAAGCAAGAGGGGTGATGTATTATCAACTTAAGTACACTATTATAGAAGTAAGAACACAGGTTAACACACCTAATTCTAAAATGCAACTAAGCCAGAACCCAAGCCAACTCATCCAACTACAAAAATGTGTGTACATGGATGTGTGTACACGAACCTGTAATATCACAGGTAAATAAAACTAAAGAACCATCTCAATAAAATAAGGCAGAGCCCTCAGAACCCTTAACAGGTATAAGAGCGCCATTTCAGGTAGCACCTCTCCACAAAAAGAAAACATGACTTCTTCCAAACTAAAAAGCATGTTTAAGAATGATTTTTACTTTTGCAAGTAAGTGATTCTCTCAGTTCATTGTAGAAAGTAAATTCCTTCTAGGTACTGAAGTACTAAAAGCAAAAGGTCTATGAAGTACCTAGAACAGACCAACTACAAAATATAAGATATCCCCAACCTCTAGCCACTAAACTACACGTAGAGACATCTACCTGTTGCAGTTTCTGAAAATTCACATTCTAATATGGGTGATACTCCGACCCAGATGTCCCATTATCCAGCTCACATTCTCGCATGTTAGCTCTACTCAAACTGGGACAATCAACAGGACCACAGACAGCCTGGACTAATAAACCATGGCGGGTTCTTTTATTTACAAACAGTCCATCGGCTTGGCACTTTGTGACCCAATACACACCTACCAAAGAAACATCACTTGTAACTGGTACGTACGTTCTTTCCGGTGTTCGACCAAGCCCGCGGCCTGCTTTGCTGAGCACTTTGCAAACCAATTGTCCCCCAGTAAAACGGTGACTTCATTAGTATGAACGAGTTTTCCTGGCATGAAGGCAAAGGGGCCAAATGGTACCTATTTTAAAAAACAGACAAAAAATTTAAAATACTAAGAAAAAATCTACATAGCAGCCTTAAAAGCTCTATGTTGAGGCCTTTTTTTATCTACATACTACGAAAAATGTCAACTTCACAGAAATTCAACATCATATTTAAGTTTCACTAGGAAAACCTACAGAAAGTTGTTTCAGGTTAATAAATTAACGCCATATCAAGCACGTAAAGATATCAGCACATTTACATACAGCTCTCAGAGAAATTAGCATTGACTCTGAATGTTTATACTTTTTGTTCATTCATAAATCTACTCGAAAGCAAACTAGTAATGAAATACTAAATTAATAATACCTTTGATTCAAAAAACTAAAAATTGTTTCCAATAAAATAGCCATTTTTTTGTAAAGCAAGAACGAACAAATAAAAAGGATTAATGAAACTACAAAATTTACAAACTATCTGGGTCAGTATAATAAAGAACAATACCTTTACCAAGCATTTGGGCTAGTGTCATTAAGAACAGTCTTCGTGAAAAGAGAGATTTATGCAATGAAAGAGTCTAACCCAGGGCTCGTGAATGGATCACTATGCCGATATGAAGATCATTCAAACAAAAATTAGCAGTACCTTTTTATATAAAAATCAATGTTCTAGGGTTTAATTCTGCGAATTACACAACATTATGGTCTATTCCTGCTCTGGCTAACAGGAAACGACTAAGTGCCATATTTCTGTCATAATTACAATTTTCTAACACAGTAAATCTGCATACCAAATATGTCAAATTGTGTGCTAACATTCATGCCATTTATGTCACCGTAATGTGATAATTTAGTATAAATCTGAAACAAAGGAAAAGAAGTAAATACTATTACTATTAATTGGTGTACTACTATAAAGTAAAACAAAACCACCCTTCCTTGTGGTAGTAGCTGCCTGATGCAGCCCATCAGCTTGGCAATTTGGGAAATGACACACATAAGGTAAGGAAACATTTTCTTTACACACGTAACATCTTTACAAGAAACAACGCACTCGTTTAAGAGACACGCACGGCGAACATACCATGATATTGTACGACAACTTATCGGGCAAGGTGCCGAGCCTCTCCTGAAGGGCGTTATAGTCGTTATCCACCTTCCTCCTGTTGACAAAACCGTACCAAATACTAACTGAATACACAAATTACTTCCCCGAGCAGGCCATGTATCATACGACAAGCTAATCAAAGACCTAACTGTAGCAATTTAAAGAGTAAAGTATTTTTTCATTTAAAAACCCCGTTTTTACGAAGGTGAGCGATGGCTTTCGCCCCACGCGTTTATCAGAGTGAAGACGCTCAGCAGCTCTGGCCTCCGGGAGCGGCGCGCGCCCACTGGGAGCGCGAGTGTTTCCCAAGGTAGAAGGTCATCTGGACTAAACAGAACTCGGCCATTAAGGGAGATAGTGAAGGAAGGTGGCCTGATGTCCAGAGGGCCACGGGCTCCAGAGGAAGGAGGAAGAATGAGATAGTGAAGGAAGGTGGCCTGATGTCCAGAGGAAGGAGGAAGAGGCTTGAGGAAGCTGCTGAGTGAACGAACGCCGGCTGTGGAGCCACGATCACGGTCGGGAAGCCTGATCAGATGCTTCGGTCCTCAGAACTCTGGCGGTGGCGAATGCAGGAGTCACCGACCGCTGGGTTACTCCTGCTACCGTGGTCAAGGTGAGAGACAATCACCGAGGGGCCAGAAGGATCAGGGAGGCGTTAACGCCAAAAAGCATTTCCATTCGGCTTTGGAGTTGGTTTCATGCGACAGTGAAACAGAGCTGCCTGATACGTTCATTCCAAACGACCAGAAGATGGGATTGTGTAGGAGCAGAGGTGCCGCCCGTCCCCATGCCGGGAGCCCCCCTCGGCTTACGCCCACGGGAAAGGGCCGGTGAGGGGCCGCCTTCAAACCCCTGGAGATCGGGCTCCCCAGGGGCCCCTGCCAGGGTGCAGGCTGCGGGCGAGCCGGAGCACTGCAAGTTTCTAAAGCAGAAGGGTCCTGTCAATTTTCAAAAATAACAAAAACAAAAACTCAGCGATTCGGCTAGTAATTTAAAAGAGCATGGAGATATTGTCAAATTGAAATCAAGATAAATTGTAACAGAGATAATCACTCTCCAGATAATAAAAATGACTGCTCTCTCAACATCGCGGAATCGGTTTCAGTCACTCCTTAGCTCCCCAAAGGAACCGCGGCATAATTAATAAAAATGATCTCATTTCGTCTATCAAAGAATATCACGGAATTTCACATATGCTATTCATCCTAAAAACACCCTGCAGTAGCTGTCACTTGTGGCCATGCCCCCCGGGGGGAGGGCAGGAGGCGGGCGGCCTGGGACAGTGCAGCCCAGTCTTCCGACCTCCGTCTCTCCAGCAAGCCTTTCCGTTTTCGAGGGTTCAAGGGCTTTTTCTAAATTTTCCCTCAAAATCCTTTTTTATAAACGTGACATGTCTAGTCTATTTTTTTCAGGCAAGATCATCCTTCTGGATAAATTTTTATATGAATAAAATAATTTTTAAAAACCTTTTTATCAAGCACAGGGCTATGTCCCCGAAAGAACATGGTTTTGGGGTCAGGCCAGAGGGTGAATCCCAGCTCCACCACTCAACGCACACGACTTAGCCCCAGCGTCAGTATCTCCGACGCTCAAACTGGAATGATGCCACACGATCCGACAGGTCCAAGAGAACTACAGGTAAAGGGCTTAACAGCCCCACCTAGCACTGAACATCTGCACTGGACATCCGATATCCTTTTTCCATGAAGCATCGAAAACACCAGTTCTAAAATTTTTAAGGAAGACTATTACCCCTAAGGTAAGATTTCACTGTGTTAAATTCATTCAATTTGATACAAATATTGGGTTGTACTCAAAGAGAGTACAGTTAAGCAGTTACCGCTTTTGACTATGCATTTTGATATGACTAGTGTCCCCATTTAGGGGGCTTTGGAGACAGGGCTGGTATGAGCCATAAACAGGACACTGTAAACAGCTAACTTGGCACAATGCCTGCACACAGTAAACATTTGTTATTAAATCAACTAAGCACTAAGAGTTCATGTGTTTCAGGTAAGTAATTTTGCAAATGCTCAAGGACCGACCGTACATCGGCTTAGATGTCTAAATATTCCTGTGACTGTTGAAAAGCTAGCATTAACATTAGCTAGCATGTGGTAGTACGTCTTATCTGGGTAACTATACTGGGACAAAGGGGACTTCTCAACCAAACATCTCTTTCTATGTTAAAAGAACAGCAGAGTCGAGCAGAAGTAATATAAGAAGTCAGTATCAGTATTCCGAATGAAGTAGATTCAGTTTTAAACTTATCAATAACCCTCTCTAGAACAAAAATGTGAACATATTGGAGGACAGTTTAAAACTGGAGTTGCGATTTCTAAATTCTGAATTGTTTTCTAAAAATAAAAAAAGAAGATAATTTAAAATGTAGCCCATGCAGAAATCCCTTTTGAAGGAGGAGCGCCGTCTCCGGGAGAAACCACGGCTCGAGGCATTCTGTCTCTGAAGGCCCCACTAGTGGGAATACCCAGGATCTGGCAAGTGGCCAGAGCTACCTCCAAGTGGTCCCTCTACTGTTTAGGGCTTAAATGATCCCACTGAAGGTCACAAAGCCTAAGCAATGACAAGTACAAAAACGACTCTAAGAACTATTGGGTTAGAGAAGCTAAACAGAGAATCTTTTATTTACTCCAAAACTGGAATAGGTTTTTTTCCACTTTACTACTTAGAAACATATAACTCCTTTTGGGACACTAGTCACATCAAAATGCGTAGTCAAAAGCGGTAACTGCTTAAAATCGTTTTTTTTTTTCAAACGGAAAGTAAGACCCGATGTGGTCAGGGTAGGCCTCTCAAGCCCATGTATCATCTATCTATAGGCCTCCACGTTTGGCTTCACTTATCTGACCCTAATAGATTAGGTTCAGCCTTCAATTCTTAATTTAAATAAAATTATCCAATAAATAAGATTCTATTTGCATCAAATAGTCTCAATTTTCCTTACAGAGAATAAGAACTAAAGCACTGCTATAAAGCCTATAAGAAACTTCTACAATCTTGTTTCAAATCTTGCTAATCATGTGCATTATATGCCTTCTGAGAAGCATCTTTTGTTTTAAAAAGCAGCAGCAAAAAAGGACCTAATAGCTACGAATTTGCTTTAATCTTAAGGATAAAGATCAGGACAGAATCCACGGAAAACACCTTATTTTCATGAAATGGTAAAAAGTATGGAAGAGGGCAAGTTAAATGATGAGCACGGCTCAAGTACTTAACAGGTAAATATACTGATGACCACAACTTACTTTGAAATGCATCAGAAAAAAGGGGATTGATGGGTTTAGGGTGGATAGATATATGATTGAGATTCACCTATACAATTCTTTCCAACTCTTCTGAATGTTTGAAGATTTTCATAATAGAATATTAAAAAGGAGATGGGGAAATATGAGAGAGTTCTCTATATTTTTAATCCTCTTCTTAAATGCAACTGACCAAAAAAAATCTGTAAAGAAAAAGTTCTAGATCCCTTGTTTGAGGCAAGTAATAAAGACTCCAATTTCCTTTAAATAATAAAAAATAATAAATAGCTCTAAAAACTGAAATTTCCTTTAAATAATAAAAATAGCTTTAAATCTTAAAAAGGAAATAAAACTTAAATCTCTGATTGAAATAAGATTTTGCTAATTTTCACTTTAAAGTAGTAAGTTGGAATAGGCAGAAAATACTGACAAACATTCAACGGTGGGCTATCAGTAGTTAAGTTTTGGAGGAGCCAAAAGCTACATGTAGAATTTTGACTGCAGGGGTGTTGGCGGGGGGGTGGGGGGGAGGCATCCCCAACACTCGCATTATTCAAGGGTCAACTGTATAGGATCCTCCTTCTTTGTCATGAAACGAAAGCCACTTTCATAAGTAACTGCAGAAATGCCAATGACAAAAGCACGTAGTCTTCGGAAGGGTGAGAAGGGTCTCTGCTCCACGGGGTGGTGGTGGGCGGGATGGGGTGGAGAGACACGAAAACGAGAAAGCCCGACAGAAGGCCCTATACGAACCAGTGACTGGGAACGCTGTGGTCAGTAAAATGGAGACTGAAAAATACGGTCTCCCAATTTACCCAACACTGCAGAATGGCGCTATCGCCACGGATTTTTTTTAAGTTTTAAAGGTATGTAGATCAATATTTCATAGGTTATGCATAATAAAACAACTTTTATGTAAGCATATGAAGTTAATTCAAAAAAGCACTGTTTCAGGTAATTCATGAGAAATATACTATAAACCATGGCATTGCTATGATGACATGGTTCAGTGCTTTAGTGGACAAGGAACCCCTCGAAAACATCGGAGCTAGACATCTACCCATCCATACCGTACTGATTGACCTGAAAGAGGAATTCAAAAAAAAAAAGAATTCAACAAATCTTCGACTGTGATTTTTAATTATTTATGTACACTTA